TAGCTTTATTTCAAGGGATGGCAGCAGATGTAACAGATAAAAACACGCTTATTACGTAAGTAATTATTCGGACAGATTATTTTGGAGAAAATTGTACAAAGTCAACACTTCTGACTAGTCTTGAAGCTGCTGAAAGGGTGACATAAATCAGAACTAAATAATGGCAGTACATAAATCAGTTATTTTGAAAGGTGGGGCAAAACAAACGGCAACAGGTTCAAACACCACAGACAAGAGTTGACGCACCATTGCCCATGTTCATACTTTGGGGACCTTGAACCTACTTTAGTTGTTTGCCGAACGGAAGTGAGCTGGTCTCCAAAATGGCGGTCACGCACAGCACGAAAACTTCAGGATGGCACTGGAATTGTGTAACTGCTTTGTGCACAAATTCTTTTCGCACTAAGGAGGTCAAGTATTTACGTTGCCAACTGATCCAGAATTGCAAAAAGGCTATGCAAAAGTTCTCACGAACGACATTGTAAACTGGCGGAAACATGTAATTTGCAGTGCACATTGGAGCAATGAAAGAAAATAAAAAGGTCAGTTACCAGACGTAATTTGCACTCATGGGTATGTTGAAAAACTGGGAGACTGGGAAGACTGGGGCGACCATGTCCGAGTGAAGACGCGCATGTTTCACTCCCGTGCATGTTTTGTCGTTTCTTAAAAATAATATTTAGTCCTTAAACCCAGTCTATAGGCGGGTTCATACTAGTGAAGTAAGTAGACCTTAAGTATACTTGAATCTTACTTTAGATGTGAACGGGTCGAATGTCAACTCAAGTAGCCTACTTTGTGCCCATGGTAACGCGTTGACTTCAGAGAAACCGAAGTACACTCTCAAGTCTAGTTTCAATTATCCTTACCAGCTAACTTACGCTTTATCTTAACACATTCCGCAAAGATACGTCAATCAAACATGTTAAAAGCAGGAGAATCACAACATAAGAGCACGCCAACACGCAAACGTTGTCTGTCGATTGCATTGCCTGTTAGCTTATTTAATCACGAAATGAATCCGTTTAGATCCTCTTACCAAGCCATGGATGACGACTATTTAGACGAAGGTCTTATGTAAATATTCACGTTTTTGTAAAATGTAAGAGTGAAATTTATTAAATTTGCGCAGCAGGCCCAGAAGATCACGCAATTAACCTGCACTCGTGCCTTCTTCAACAGAAACAACTTGAACCAGCATTTTGCAAACCGAGTAAATTCTCCTGAGCATTTACAACCGCCTATGGTTGGTAGACAGTTATGGCCCCTTCCTTCGACCAGCAACTCTTTTTATCGGCCGTCCGAGTTGACACGTATGCAGTTTCATGAACAGCAACTTGAAGATTCATCTCAGCTCAGCACGATCCACAACATCTCTGACGTGTCAAGAGCGCAATCGCCCATCTCTGTAGCAAGCACTGCAAGCACTTCATCTTTACGGTCAGAGGAGGAAAGGCCAAAGGGTAAGACAAAGAAAGCTCGATCGAAGTCAGCTGATTGGACCGACAATGAGACTCAAGATCTTTTGGAAGCGTGGAGGCCCAGGTATAACCAGCTTCAAAGCGCCTCTCAAAAGGAAAAGATCAAAATATGGAATGAAATTTATTCATCTTACAAGAATGCCTTTCCCGAGAGCCAGAGAACCCTTCAACAGATCAAGAAACGCCAACAGAATTTGGAGTACGAGTATAAACACCTAAAACACCGAACTCAAAAGACGGGAAAAGCTGGAATAAAAATCATCAAAGATGGCTTTCCATATTTTGATTATTTTGACGAAGTAATGGGGCATCGCGACTGCGTAAATCCGACAAAAATGGCCGTTGAAGGAAGCTCCATCTTTACTAGTATAGAGCAGAAAGGAGGCTCAGCAGAAAGTAAAGATGTTCCGGAGGAAAGCAGTCCACCAGCCTCAAATCCGAGCACCCACTCTGGCAAAAAGAAGGCAGACGACAAGCTCGCAGAAAAGAGTTGCCGTAAGGGAAAACGACGGTGTCTAGATGAGCCAGAACCAAGTGGATCTTCTGCGGGTGAATTCCAGACAGCCGTTATGGAAATGTGGAAGCGTAGTATTGAACAAGATAACGAGAGATTTGAACTTTCTGCTGAAATGTTTTGCGAGGCCCAGAACAAGCAAATGGATCAAACAAACGCTTTACTTACAGGTTTTAAAGACATTTTCAGACTTGCTGTCAAAGTAGGGCAGAAAATGAGTTAACTTTCTTTACCTTTAGAGATTTATACATCACATTTGTTCAATCCAAGAAAAATGTTACTATTTTCACTCTTAATTTAATCATGTTAGTACCGGCAGTGACTCATGTATAATCTGAAGTTGTAAAGAAAAAACAACCTTGTAGCAGAACAGGGATTGATTTATGCTTCACGTTTTTATGTGAAACAGCAAAGAAGACTATAAAAAGTTTACCGCATCATTAATTTACAGGTTTTCCCACACATAGTCTTTTAACGTATCTCGAATATTGTTGCCGGTTTCAAAAGCATTTCACCCTCCATTGTCATCATCAGAGCCATCGTCTGAGTCGCTATCGTCTGCGTTGTGTAGGTCTCCCCTTTCAATGCAAATATTGTGTAAAACAAGCCGCAATTACAGTCCTCTTCAAAGATGTCGTTTTTCGTTCAATTTTCTTCAAAATAATCCTCCATCTTGATTTAAGCATGCCAAAAACTCTTTCAACTACGCATCTCAGTGCTCTAAACTTAAGATTTAATTTCCTAAGCTCGGCAGTTAGACGACCTCTATCAGAGAAGGGTTTCATGAGCCAGTTTGTAAGTGGATAGGCACTGTCTCCAACTAAAAGAGGCCCGAGTTCTGTTCCATTGATATTTCGCATTGGACCACTAAGAATTTGCTCATTTTCGGCGAAATCGTACAAGCCACTTAGCCTTAAAACTCGAGCATCATGTAGACTTCCAGGGTACCCAACAGTAGCATGAATGAACTTCAATTTGGCGTCGACTATGGCCTGTAGATTTACACTGTAGTGCTGCTTTCGGTTGAAATAATCTTCGTGACTCTGTGGTGGAGCATTTATTTCTATGTGACACCCATCGATCGCTGCAACTATTTGCGGTATTCCATACAGCTCCTCAAACTCCTCAATTTTCTCTCCAATTTCCTCATTTGTTAAAGGAAATGTTATGAAACAATCTTTTAGATCAAAAACAGCTTGCTCGAACTCACTACAGATGATTTTCGCTGTTGACTTTCCTAATCCAAACTGTAACCCACAACTTCTGTAACTGTTCCTTGTTGCCAGTCGCCAGAGTGCTAGGCCAACTCTTTCCTCCACGCTAACAGGGACTCCGAATCTTGTGTGCTGCTTTTGCAAGTTTGCTCTCACAAGGTCGCATAAGTATTCAAATGTTTCTCGGGTGACTCTGAAATGTTCCTTCCAAAGAAAATTTAGCGCAGGACTTGCCAGTAAGTTTTTGAACAAGTTCTGGGGATGTGGCCAAACCCACGCTCTTCTTATGCGTTGCACCTTTTGTTGTCTCATTTGGGCCATGAACATCAGCAACATTTGTCTGTTTCTCCGTCTCACTCTAAATTCTTCCTCTGTGACGAGAAAGTGGTAAAATTGCTGTAATAGCAAAGCTCTCTGTCATTGCAGTAAGAAAATTATGAGGAACACAAGGTAAGCATTTCGAAGTTTTCGAGCTTGCATGTTGTACTTATGTTTTGTGCATATCGCAGTTAAAATCCTAATCACGCTATTTCATGCACGCGAAATTTTACCGCGTAACTTGATTGACAACCCCAATTGCTTCAAGCATACTTTGAATTCTAAATGTGAACGCTTATCACGGTAAGAAAACATACATGTTCTCAAGTATACTCGGGTTCCTGCTGTACTTAAGGTCTACTTACTTCGCTATTATGAACCCGCCTTATGGCTCAAAGTTGTAAACGGAAAGTGAAGGCAAGTGTTAGCATCAGCTCTGATGGCGACATTTGCTCTCCAGAAGGAAAAAAGGCCCGCAACAGTCCATGCTTGGAACCGAACATTAGCATAGTATTCAGTGACAACGATCAAGTTCTGGAGTCCTTGAACATGACAGAAAAAATCGCTACTCAACTGGAACCGATCTTCGAAATGCTCGCAGGGATAGAAAGCAGGTTACAGAATCTAGAAGGTAAACTATTTGACCGTTTCTTCGCTTTGTGAGCTGGTTTTTAGAAGAGTTCACAAGCTGGCAGATGATATCAATATTACGGCCTACGCAGTTTTTCGTAATGAAATAAGCAAAAGAAGGGAAAAGCAGTGACCAAGTCTTAAAAAAGCAAGAGAGGAGGGAAAGATTGCTTTCTTTAGCAAACCAGAACCCGATAAATTATTTATCAATGGCCGATTTGTTCCCTAATAGACAAATCTAGGTTTTTGGACCTAGTTTATTTTAATTAACTTGTTTGTACTTTTCATCAGACTGTTTTTGTAACGGGAGGGGCATGTGTAGGTTAGAACAATTGGGAGTAGTGTGTTTTCTATCTACGTGTTGTGTGTTTTTGTACCTCAGTTACCTCTTTTCAATTTTTTTTTTGTGTACTGCTGCGGTGGAAAATTATTTGTATGCGCACCATTTAGTTTTACCCATTCATGAAAGAATTTTTGGATTTTAAATTACTCTTAATGTTCCATGGATTTGATCCGCCATGAAAAGGAAAGCCCTTTTTACCTGGTTAACTGAACAGAGGTATGATATTATCTTTCTTCAAGAGACCTACTGTTGATGTTGAAGATATTTGGAGAACACAATGGAGAGGTAAGCTCTTTTTTGCTTACGGCTTTAATCATAGTTGTGGGGTGAAACTGTGCAGGGAAATATTATGAGCTCCCTGATAACTTACAAAGATTTTTATGTAACATTTTGTATGTCTCTATTGGATGAGTTAACCGATTTAGTGCTCTGATTGTCTTCCAGTAAATAAAATTTTACCGTTACTCACCAGTAAGTTTGGAGAAGCTCTCCAAAGCTTCTCATTCGAAACTGTTGCCTCTCTGAAAGTTTTTTAATTTCTTGGGTTTGCAAATGATTTCATGTACCTTATCACGTATGCAAAACCAACTTGAATCAATTTTTTTGTATCGACAGAATCCCAATAGAGATGGTAAGTTGCTAGCGACTGATGTACCCTGAGCCATGTCAGTGTAATGAGTGTTTGTTGAACTGAGCTTCACTTCTTCTAACTCTGGAATCGTGATAGTTATGAACTCATCCTGAGACTCTTTAAGCAAATTAAGCAATGTTTGGGTCTTTTCTGAACAAAAGAAATTTTCATTACTGACTGAGATTGTTGCAGTGGAATGATCAATGCTTATCTCTTGGTTTGATGGGTTAGACTTTGAGGGAACCAATGCACTATGCCAGATATCTCCCGTCTCTCCTAAAAATGTTTGTTTGACGATGTTTTCATCAAAGCTGGGTATTTGCTTTGCACAGTCATGTTCTTTCTGTATAACTTTATTTCCATATGCACTTCTGTATGAGGTGGCAATATAACCCAGATTGTCTGATTGCATATTATTGCAATATCTGAGGAATATGACTTGACACATCCATATTGCACTTTGATATTCCATTGGATAGTTTAGAGCTTATCTGTATGATGTCTCTTTTTAGCCAGTCACTTGTGTCTCTGCAAGAATCAACATTTTCTTGTGTAGCAGTAACCCTCCTTTAGTGCCTCTTTTGAGTAACCTCGTGTGTTGCAAATCTCTCGTTCCTAAAATATTTTAGGCAAATATGAGACGCAGTCGTGATATTTGATTTTCTTCTTTTAATTGGTTTGTGCTTTTTTTGCAATTTCTGAGTGCATGTCAACGACAGAAAAAGCTCAAAATGTTCGAGTTGGAGCAGTATTACAATAACATGACAACAAAGACCACATTTCCCTATGAGACACTCACAAAAGCATTTTTGAGGAACTTTGCCGACAAATAGAAAAGTAGCTGTGAGAGTGACTTCCGACAAAAAGCTTTTCAAAATGCTTGATTTGATGTAAAGCGTATTCCCATCTTTTAAACCCTTTATAGTTTTCATCCGCCTCAAGGAGAACATTCTCTGAGCCTTATGAAAACTGCCCAGTTATTCCTTGTCGTTTGTGCGATTGATATTTTCTGATGACATCCTTCTGAACTTTAGTGAAAAGCAAAGTATCACATTTCCATCCAGCCATGGGTGGTGGTACTTCTTCCCTTGAAAGAGCAGTTGAAACTTTATTCTTTGCAAATGCTGTTAACTCGTCTGTCGAACAAGTGTGCGTTTTTGAGAGCAAGCAGTCTTTCAAGCAGTTCCTTCTTAGTGCCTGTTAACTTTATTTGCAGTTTGTGGCAAAATTTTTCCATTGTCTGGCTGTCCCGAGATCCTAATGAGTCCTCGTTGATAATTTCTTTTTGACTGTTTCTAAAGTGATAAATTTCTTGTTAGTTTTGTCCACCATTTTTCAGAATTCAAGATTGGCGCCAAAGCCACGCCACTTCTGTCTGGCAAACAACAAAAAAAGGTTCCAGTTACCCAACGCATGACATCAGGCACTTTAATCAAAACGGTAGGGCAAACAACAAAAAGCGTGACAAACCAGACAACACCTCAGACCTCCCCATCTCCAAACAGAAGGAGGAGGAATTGTATGCGCAATATTTAGAAGGGAAAAGCCAGAGGGAGTCGAGTTGGCGTTTGATGCATGGAGGAGACAAAAATAAGGGAGGGTAGAAGAGGAAAACGAGGAAAGGAAACTTGGGACAAAAAGCACAAGAAGAGGTAGAAAGAAGGGGTGAACAGAAAAAGCAGGGGGGGAGGAAAGAGGGGAATAAATGAAAAGAAAGGATCTGAAAGACAGTGAAATGAGGAGATGCGAGGAAATAGAAATTGTGGTAAGGAAGGGAGCGAAAATAGAGGAAACGAGAATGGAGGAAATGGAAAGAAAGACGGGAGAAAGAGAAAAGAAAAGGATAAAAAAAGAATTGGAGAGAGGAGGATAACAAGAAAACGAGAGAAATTGGAAAGAAAGGAGAGACAAAAGAATAAGGGAAGAGTTTGAAAGGAAAGAGAAGAGAGAAAGGAAGGAGAAAAGAAAAAGGGAAGAACAGGAAAGAAAGGAGAGGGAGACAAAGAAATGGAAGACAAAAGAAGACGGGACGAGTTGGAAAGAATAGAAAAAGAAAAGAGAGAAAGGAAGAAGAAAAGGAAAAGGGAAGAACTGGAAAGAAAAAAGACAGAGAAAAGGGAAAGGAGAGAGGAACAACGCGAGAGGATCAAGGAAGCCCAAGACATGCTAGACATGTCCTTGCATATCGAATGGCTGGACTGGCTTTCAGACAATGTAATTCAAGAAGACGACCGACAGTGATCAGTTACAGGTTTTCGAGGTAAGCTGCAAAAACTGTCCATTATTAAGACAACTTTGAATTTGAATTGGCTGCTAAGTTCGAAGTGACATAATGTTGACCTGTTTTTCTCACCATGTTTTCTGCCAGACAATAAAAACAATGGAAGTCACCTTAACTTCATTTATAGCTGAAACAAGGGCAGCAATGAAGCACCTCAGTGACAGTCTAGAAACGTTGGAGAACTATGCAGTTCCCGCACAGCCAAGATCAACACCACCTTCAGTAAGCATTAATCCAATAATAAGTTAAGCCACCATGAAATTGGGCCTGCTCTTCTGATGATGCCAGAGACCATAGTAATGGTAATTATGGTTGATGCATAAGGAATTGTTTTTAAATAACATAGTTGGTTCCGTTTTGTTAGATTTTGCTCCTGACCTAGAATTCTGAACGTTTTCAAAAAGCCATCACCAAAGACTTCCATTAATTTGTATTTCCTCTAAGAAAATGCTCAGAGGCACGTATGCGAATGGGAAAGTTGTTATGCTTCTACTATGCCCGTTGTTAATCATATAGAGTGAATTTCTTCTCATTAGGGTAGTTCTGTAAACGCAGCAAAGACGCTGACAAACACAAAATTACCTTCTTCAAGGAGTTTAACACCAAAAACGCGCCCCAAAGTCTCCCAAGTCCTAAATAGAAGCACTGAAAGGTACAAGACAGCCTTGAAAATACTCGCCATGCACTTCTCCTAGGAAGAATTAACCAACTCAAATTTCACTGGAGCATATGACAAGAACCGGCTTGACCCAAAATGACTTGCTGTTGTCAAACGTAAGTTTCAATCTTTCAAGTCAGTCACGTAAAGTGACCGCTATGTCAGGAGGATATTGCTGTTTTTGCTCAATTATTCTGGGATAAAGTAATTACTTAAGCAGAAATTATGCAATCTTATTAAATGTCAATCCATGTGTATCCTAGCCATAACAAGAAACAAACCACAGGAAACAGCCTTCAATCCCTTGAGACGCTCTAAACTGGACCATAAATTTTGAAGTTTAATTGACGTGAGGACATGTTTTAGCTTATGACAGCAAAAAGCATAACATAAACAACTAAAAGAGATTCAACAGATTTAAATTGATTAAACGTCTCAAATACACGACAAAAAGTCATTCTTCACCACTGATGCTTTTTTTTTTATTAGAAAACCAAAAAAAGCGTGAACACTCCGAGAGAATGACTGACAATAATAAATGGCACTATACAACAGGGCATAGCTACCTAGATGGAAGGTACGCATGAACGTACCTGAAAAAATCGAAAATACAAAATAAAGAAAACTGAAATAAATAGAAGGAAAAAAAATGACAAAAAAGCAAATAAATAAAAAAATAATCTTTTGAAATAAAGCCCAGTTTGCCTCAATGCATTTAAATCTGCTCGTTATTTTATATATTTTTCTTGAAATCCTTAAACAACGGACTATTTTTCCCACTCCTGGGTGTCAGTTTTTAGAGGAGCGATGTAATTCATTGGTGGAACGAATCTTGTGTGATATATTTATAGAAAAGATGGGAAAATAGCGCGCATATAACATGAAAGTTGGATGGTAAAGCATGAACTGTTCTTTTCACTTTGGCGTCTTTAAGTTCTAAGTTCGCAGTACAGTCGACTTCCATGTCCAAAAACTCAATAAGGTTATTACTTTGTCATTGGGAATGAGGGAATGGAAGAAGAAAAAACCGACGTTTAAAAGCCAAGTAAGTTCAAACTTTCTGTTATGACTACACTTTGCCATGTGTTTCTGATAATTATCAATTTGAATGAGAGCATTAGAGCCCCGAGTTCAGTGGATGAGGGCGGTGACAATGAACTAAAACTATGCTTATCTAACTTTATAGCTTTTGATAGACTGAAATTGGTTAAAATTTCAAAACCTTTACCCTGGCTTCGCGAGAACTTAAATGGCTCACTGTGTGTCGCGATTTTCAAATGATATGAATGGACGCATGTGAATTCACTAGCAATTTGCACGTGCAAATCAGAATTAGATAAATGAAAGGGTCAGTGGGAAACAAAACTAATTTACCCTTGTCACGGTTTAAAAAGTGCGGTGTCATTAAGTTAATTTCTAACTTGCCATAGGAATGTTTTGAATACCACATTTAACTATGTTCCAACTGCAAATAAGCAGGGTGTCATCACGTGCCTAGTCTACGAAAAATAATTTGTTGTAAGCTTTTTCTAATTAGAGTAATTGAAATTTATGAAGAAAAGTATTTGTGGAACATTTTTTCAGTCGTTGCCCAAAAAACAACTAATACAGCTAGTGAACTCACTTGGTCAACAAATCGTTACCGCCCCTAGTACCCTGACGAATTCCAAGAAGAAAGAGTTGCATCTACGCTCAGTGACTCTCTCTGTTGGATCGTGAGTGAGACGTGGATGACCTTTACAGGTTTCCAATAAGGTTTGTTTGCTGAAAAGTTGAGTTTTCCTATTAGTTTCAATATTCCCAAAACTGCTCTCATTAAAAACCATTTAATTATTGATGACCTCCTCTTTCAGAAATACTTCAAGCAGGGAGTCAAGCCCTTTAGGGGTCCAAAAATATAGGAATATAGGACTAAGCGACCTGAAAATAGAGGACAAAACCCACCAAAACTGCAAAAATATGGGGCGAATCCGGTAGTAACTCAGAGGCCCAACGTAAGGTTCCTTATTTTATTTAGACTCTCTAGATATACTTATTCATTTACTATGTTGCCAAGATTATAGGGCCAGCAAAAGAAAGACTCTATTGGGGTTTCAAAGATATCTTTCACACTTATAGTAAGTTTATCATTTACTTCAGAAAGTCAAAATAGCACTGTTTTTTCTAGAATCATAACATCATGTCAGTTACAATGAACTCCTTGGCATGCAAGAGTAATAACAATAGCAATCTTAAATTCTTTTCAAATCAACGGTGGTTAACAACATCAACAAGTTTGAGTCCAAACTCATTAGTGACATTTCTGTGAATACTTAGAATTACAGAAACTAGGCAAAATAAAAGCCAATGTGAACAAAAGTCACCACACGTATTCTTCAGATCAGGTAAAGCATCCATAAATTACAGCCTTCATGGTTAACTGCATCACCACTGCTGTTGGGTTGTTGTAGCAGGGTTCCTAACGTTAGATTTCTTCCTCTTTTTTGAGGCCTGCTTTGGTAGGGAAGCAGTCAATCTTGGCATTTTTGTAGGAAGTGGAACCTGTCCTAAGCTTTTTTCAAAGATGGACCCCAACAGTCAACCCACAAATCTACTGCACACCACCAAAAGTTAAGAAAACTACGCCCAATTTGAAGAACATTTTTTTGCTTTTCGAGGTGTAGCAAACACATCGTTGCAGCATCAAAGTTTCCTGAATTGTGGTTTTTGTGGCTTACTGCCTCTTTGAGCAAAAGGCTTGTATGTTATCACGTTGTAAGAGTGAGTGATTGAGTGAGTGTGACAATAGAATTCGGGCAGCCGCCCACCATAAATGCGGCCACTTTTGATCCCGATGTTCCCCGATCTTAGTCCCTTTTTTGTTCCAAAACATGGTCAGTTGTTCAATGTTTGTCGAGGATAGCTTTGAATGGCCCCGAATGTTACTCAGAATTAGCATGGGATCACACAAGAACTCTTTGATTTGCCACAGCCATGTGCTCTCAAAGCTCTCACGTCATTTGACAATGTCGACTGGAGGGTGAGTTCTTTTCTTCATAATGAGTTCAAACGGCACTTAGGCGTAAGAATCAAGCACAGCTGTCTTCGCATTTATAAGAACTTGTTAGCAAAGAATTCAGTTTACAATTGAGAAATCATTTATTAATGACGGTTAATTAACCAGTAAAAGAGATACTGAGAGATGTCGTAAAACAGATAACAGTCACTTATAATCAACTGCGTAGTCTGGAGTCTCATCTTTTGTAAGATCCAGAGAGATGAAGCTTAAGCGCTTACTCATTCCCATCCTTTTTCTCCATACTCTTTTTTGTTGCGATGTCGCTCTCTCCAGGCGCACATCCTAAACGCAAGTCTAAGAAGGTGTTAGATCCAGACTTTCAGTGTAACTTTCCTTCAAGTGCATTTCTTCAAGGTGATCTCAATCTAGAGGAGCAAAGTAATCCTGCAACGTATAATCGGTCTACCAAACAGTCAACTCAGTCATCTAAACTCAAGTCAGCTATGGTACTTGCAGCTTCCTCATCGCCCATTGCTATCAACGATACTGCATCATCTGCTCTCTCTTTTGTTCAGCAGCTTCAGCCGCTAAAGCACCAGAAGGATAAGCTCGAATTGGAATTGAAAGTACTAACTCTAAGCACGCCAGGAATGCCCTCCCCCCTCGACAATAAGACGCTTGCACATCCCACTCAGCCTTCACACGACAAGCGTAACATCCATTGGCCACAGGATTTTGTTCCTTCTATTCAAGGTGAATACAATAAGATACAACTGCCTGAAATTGTTGGGAGTTTTTTTATCATGATAAAATACTACAATAAGGCGTCAAAGGACGCAATGCTAGCTCATCTCGAGTTACTCACAATCAAAGCAATTAGCTATTTGTGGGTTAGTGTTCGAGCTTTTCACAAATTTATCGCGAACATGTTGAGTGGTGTCATTTGGATTGGCAAGATTTTAAGTCTATTCAGGATCAGGCCACCACTCTTTTCCACCATCCACACGCGGTTACACCCTCTGTTGCCAAGGCTTGTTGACCTGTTTGTGCTCAGCAAGATGCTGATGCTTTTAAGGAACATCATCGACGCAGAGTGTGCAAGGCTGATCATCCTATGCTACACTGCGCTAAACGTCATACACCGATTCCCTTGCAATGACAGCTACTTGACAACGCCCCTCACTCTGCGACCTCTTGACCCAGAACGGACACAGACACAAATCTTTCAACACTTCAGCTGTTGTACGACGTTTAATTGCTTCTTGCCATAACCAACCAAATGCCTTCGGTGCTAAGCTTTTAGTTGCTACATCGCTCTTGCTCACGAACTGGAGAACATTACTCTCAAATTATTCCGATACGATTGTGGTTGATTTTCTCCCTTATGGTTGGCCTATCAATTACACCACATCTACACTTCCTGCTTCATCATTACATAATCATCCTTCTGCTTCGCTCTTCTCACGTGCAAGCCTATGTTCACACTGAGTTAGCCTGGAATGCCATAGCCAGACCCCTCGAGTATCTTCCCTTTTTCGATGACTTTGTTTGCTCTCCTCTTCAAACGGTTCCCAAACGAGGTTCACCAACGTGACGGGTAGTCATGGACCTGAGTTTCCTTCAGGCTGCTCCATCAATGACGGTATTCCTCAAAATACTTATTTGGGCGAATATTTTAAGTTACAATTACTCCAGATTGATTGGCTTGTCGAATTCACCCTTAAGAAAGGTCGCAACTGTCAGTTTCCCATTGATCCGAAGGATTACCATTGACTCGGTTGTCATTATCAGGGCAAATTTTATTTTGTCACTCGTCCTTTCAGTTTACATTCGTCAGCAATGATTTTCCAATGCACAACAAAGGCGGTTGTCCATATCTTCCCCAAGCAGGGGTTCTTAGCAGATGTTTATCTTGATGACTTTCATGGCGCCACATATCCCTTTCTTGCTGCTTCGGCATTTTCTCAACTCAGCCAGTTATTTCATCAACTTGGTTCGGATTCTGCTCCTCACAGGGATTCATCACCTTCGACCTCTATGATTTGTCCCACAGTCGCCTTCCCTCTCGAGGTTCCTACTATAAAAATTGAGAGCCTTCCAGAGTACAATTTAAAAAAGTTATTCAATCACTGAAATTTAGCAAGCTAAGACAAGCGTGAGAAAATCCTGTTTTATCTGTTTTACAATGAGTAGTATTGCTGCAAATTATAAACTCTGATAAACAAGCTTCATCTAAAGAGAAAATAGTTTCTATAGCTAGTATTCTAAGTCAACAAAAAAGTGAAAAATGACATAATTCACCTGAACAAAGCCGTTGTTATTCCTTTAGCTTACTGCTTAGTTTTGCATTGGTTTTGTTCAAGATCGTAGGTTACCACCTTTCAGTTTGACCTCATTTAGCTGTTTTTGTTTTCATCTCTGTTTCGTATTATGACTCTTGACACGAGTCAGGTGCTACCCTTGTAAAAATTTATCAGCGATCGCGCCGCGATGACCGCGATCGCGGCGCGATTTAGATTAATCGCGCCCGCGATAGCAACGCGGTGATCGCGATCGCGGCGAGGTTATAGCGATCGCGGCGCGGTGATCGCGATCGCGGCGCGGTGATGGCGATCGCCATGCGGTGATCGCGATCGCGGCGCGATGATTGTGATCGCGGCGCGATATCAGCGATCGCGATGCAATTGAAGTAAATCGCGCTTGCCATAACGACGCGATGATCGCGATCGCGGCGAAGTTATAGCGATCTCAACGCGATGATCGTGATCGCGGGATGATCGCGATCGCGGCGCAATTTTGAAAAATCGTATCTGCGATCCCAAGGTCAGGATTGCGATGCTGGCGATGAAATCGCGATCGCGGCGAAGTTATAACGATCTCAGCCCGATGATCGTGATCGCAAGAAGAAGATTATGATCGCGGCGCGATTCAGAAAAATATCATCCGCGATCTCAGGGTCAGGATGGTGATCGCGATCGCGGGGAAGATAGATAGATAGATAGATAGATAATCTTTATTTATCCACGGTACAAAATTCGTCAGCTTTAAAAATGCCTAATACTAATATAATAAAAATATTTAAATAAAAAAGCTGCTTTCCACGAATGCCGTGCCTTACAGTTCTTTGAGTAATCGTTTAAATTGCCCAAGGGACTCTGCTTCCCTTAAGTTACAAGGAAGACTGTTCCAGAGAATGGCGCCACTGTAGCTGAAGCTGTTTTTGTAATAGTTTGTGCGCGGTAATGGAACATTGAGTTTATTTTCAGAGTCCCTTAGGTTATATGCGACTTCTCGGCTTTCAAAGTTAGAACTAAGATAGTTTGGAGCCAACCTGTGCAGAGACCTGTAAACCATCGTAGCTCTTTGAAATTGTTGCTGGCAAGCTAGGTTTTTCCACCCTAGAAGTTTGAAAAGGTGACCAGCATCTACGTCATAGCTTGAGTAGGTCAAAACACGGGCTGCTCTGTTTTGTAGCTTTTGAACCTTATTTCGTAAGGTTATCCCACAGTGTCCCCAAACAATGTTGCAATAATCAAAGTGTGGCTGTATTAAAGCTTGATATATTAGTTGTAAGGTCGCCTGAGGGACAAGGTGCCTTATTCGTTTTATGGCACCAATACCAGAAGCGACTTTCTTTGTTACTTTCTCGATATGGCCACTCCAATCAAGTCTGTCATCGATGGTCACTCCAAGTGATTTTGCGGTAGTGACCTGGCTAACTTCAAAATCATTAATTGCAAATCTCGGGGACTCTGTGAGAGTACTTAGCCTCTGCCTAGATCCGATAAGCATAAATTCGGTTTTAGTCATATTTAGAGTAAGTTTGTTTGCTCTCAGCCAATTGTGAACATTTTCTAAATCTTGATTTAGATGCAACTGAATATTGTCTGCATTATCACCCGCGTACGTAAGGTGGGTGTCATCAGCGTACATCCTCGGCTCACAATTTGAAAGACAGTTTGGAAGATCGTTGATGTATAACAGAAATAATAATGGACCTAAAATCGTCCCCTGGGGAACACCACAACTTAATAAACAGCTTTGAGAGAGCGATCCGTTGATGGAGCACATTTGAGTACGATTCTCTAAATACGACTTAAACCATTGGTGCGCGTTACCATATATGCCGTAATTGCTTAATTTTGATGAAAGGATCTCATGGTCAACTGTGTCGAAGGCCTTTTTGAGATCTAAGAAAACAACGGCGTTGATTTTACCGCGGTCAATATTGTACGCCCAAGTGTCCGTGGGCTCAAGGAGAGCCGTGACAGTTGAGTGAATAGCGCGAAAGCCTGATTGATATTTACAGATTATATTGTGCTCTTCTAGGTAGGCATATAATTGATCATAGACGATTCTTTCAAAGACCTTGGCCATAACTGAGATCACCGAAATTGGATGATAATTGTTTAGGTCGTCCCGATCGCCTTGTTTAAAAAGTGGGGTGACCTTTGCGCATTTCCAGTCATCCGGAAATATCCCTTGACTTATTGACTGGTTAAAAATATCACGGATAGGAATGCAAATGAGATCTGCACATTCCCGAATGAGCCTAGCAGATATCTTGTCAAGGCCAGCTGCCTTTGACTTATTTAGACGATTCAAAAGTGAGAGAACTTTATTTGTACTGGTCGGATGGAGCTGAAACCGTTTATCTGTGCCAGTGAGGTACTTTTGATAACCATCACTATTTGAGGAATCAATATTGCTACAAGTTCTGGACCGATAGTAGGAAAGTGATTATTAAATTGGTTCGACAGCACAGTTGGATTTGTTATTGATACTCAAATTACTTTCAGAGATGTCACCGATTTTTTTCCCAGATTTTCGCGAAGTAAGTTCATTGATAGTCTGCCAGGTCTTTTTAGAATCGCCCGTATGCTTGTTAAAACTATTCTGATAATAGGCTTGCTTGGCTAATCTGATTTCGCTATTTACTATATTGCGTTGTTTTTTAAAAAGTGACCAGTCATTTGAATCATTCGATTTACTTGCTTTAATCTTTAGAATATCCCGATCATGCATTCGTTTCTTAAGCTCAGATGTAATCCATGGGCAACTACGCGGGCGAACACGCATTGTCCTCAAGGGAGCATGCTTGTTAACAATAGATAGAAACAAGCATTTCCATTGTAGCCACATTTGATTGGGATCAGTTGAATTGTATATGTGATCCCAACAATGAGATGCAATATCATTCCGAAAATTTATTCGATTAAATTTTCGAAAGTTTCTGTAGGTTATAGCATTGTGCCCACCAGACATTCCATTCACGGATAATTTTCGATAGGCAAGAACTATGCTATGATCGCTAATACTGATATGACGAACCCCCGAACACACAACTTTATCTGGACAATTAGTATAGATTACATCAATGAAAGTTGCAGAAGTCGGAGTTATTCTGGTTGGTTCAGTGATAAGTTGCTGTAGACCATAAATATCAGTGATATTCATTAATTTGCATGTATTATTGTCATATCGAGTAGCAGTCATGTCGCAGTTAAGGTCTCCCATTAGAAAATATTCAATATTTTCGGAATTGAGTTTCCCAATTAAAGTTTCGAAAGGTGAAAAAATACCAATAGGAGAATCGGGTGGTCTATACCACGTGGCAACAACAAACGGTTTAGATCTAGGTTTTTGAATTTCCAGACATAGATTTTCAAGAGTGTCCATGTTTAAATCATTTCGTATGGTAAAATTTATTGAACTTTTCACATAGAAACACACTCCTCCTCCACCGTTTGTAATTCTATCACGTCGAATTATATCATTGCCAGAGATGTTGACCTCATTGTCGCTAATAGTTTCATTGAGCTTAGTTTCATTAATCGATAAAATATCTATTTCGTTATGCGCTAGAAGAATTCTAAGTTGATCTATGTGTGTGATTAATTTATTGATATTTAAAGAGGCTAATTTAAAACCTCGTTGAGATGGCAACACTGAGGTAGGCTCATGAGATTCCTCAGTATTGCTTTTTGCACATTGAATAGGCACGGCATCGGTGGATAGCGCATCATTTCAACCTAAACTCATCTGAAAGTTCTTAAGGAACTGTTGATTACCTTTAAAATTAAGATGTAGTCCGCCCTTGTTAAGTTCCTTTTCGGAGATGTTTTGATGCTGGATAATTTCCATCCATTCTGCCGGCAGTAGAACTTCAGTTGTTTATTAACTGTTTTCACGGCTTCATTGAATCCGTCTCTTCTTTGCACGAGCTCAGACATAATTACTGTGGCATCGGATGAGTTTTCAATTTCTCTGGCGAGATCTACCACTGAGCCGACAACTTGTTGTGGTTCTTTACTTTTGAGATCATTAGTGCCCACATGCAGAATCACTTGTTCCGGTGAAAGCTCCAGATTAGGTTTAAGGTAATCCTTCATAGCTTTGGTGGTGGCACCGGAGAACGATTTAACCACCACCCGATGACCAACGGCTTTTCCTAAACGTGTACCTTGGATATTCTTCATCATAGAGTCTCCAATCAACAAGGTAGTACTTTCGTTTGCTGGCGTGGAATTTTCCGTGTCATCATGGGCGTTGGACTGTGCTTCACTGATAGAGCGATCGTGGCGAAGTTATAGCGATCTCAGCGGAATGATCGCAGGAAGATGATTGCGATGGCGAAGACAGACAGTTTTTATTTTAGCTCGATGATATTAAACGCTATGCAACTTATGGGGTCGTGCGATTTTGAAAAATAGTATCCGCGATCACAGCGACATTGTACTTATCGCGGCGTGGTGATCACGATCGCGGCGAGATTTAGTAAAGTCAAATGCGTGATTTATATGTCAGGACTACGATCCCGGTTTGGTAATCGCGATCGCAGGGGCATTGTACTTACTGCGAAGCGGTGATGGCGATCGCGGTGCGATTTAGTTAAGTTGTAATCGGCGATCTTCGAGTGCCATATTGCTCTCGATCGTGGTGCAGTAATCGCGATCGCCAGGTGGTGATCACGATCAATCTAATTAAGTTCGCGTCCGCAATCTCAGTGCCATTATCGCGAAGGAGATAACCGAGGATCACAGTTATCGTCGCGATTTCTATTCTTTTTGAGCTCTCACGTCTTTTACGCCCCTTTT